AGAGCCAGGCTCTGAGTGGTGCCCGGGCTGCAGGGGGAGGCAGAACAAATATGATGACAGACACAACCGAGTGCCCGGCCAGTGTCGTTACCCGGATGTTGAGGCGTTGTCCTGGAGCTGCCCGGGCTGCCGAGCTCACCGCCCCCGGGGACATCCCACGCATACCTTAGGCCCGGACTGCAAACACGTTATCTTTGCCGAACGCAAGGGACAGCCACGGCAGGGCCGACATCCGCGAGCACCTGCTCGTAAAGCAACCGATGATATCTCCAAAGAACTGCAGGCGCAGCTCCCTGACACTTCGGATCTTGGTGCAGCCGAAGAGGACGAAGCCACAGCAGCGGACCCATCATCCTCGTCAGGAGCCGCTGCTTCTTCTTCTTCAGCACCTCCGCCACAGCCTGCAGCGGAACAAGACGCACCCGAGGAAGCGGACTCTGCGGCGGCCGACGCCCGCGAGCCTGATGGTTCCGCTGCTCCTGCCAGGCGAGGGCCGGACCAGATGCCGCATGCGCGACGAACCTTCAGGGAAGCCGGAGTAGGTCACGAAGTCCCTTCCGACTGGAGCCGGTTCGACATCAGCCGCTCCATGCGAGTTCTCCGTGTAGGAAATGAGAGGGCTATACGTTTGGAACTGCGGAAACTGCACCTTCGGTTTTGGCATGCCTCCCGACAGTCACTGGAGCAAATCCTCAAGGCAGCAGGTGTTCCCCAGCGCATTCTGGCATATGTGCCCGACATAATAAACACCTGCCATGAATGCCGGAAGTGGCAGCGCCCAGGTAGCGACACTCAGCATGCACTCACGGCCAGTCTTAAGTTCAATCAGCACGTAGAGTTTGACCTTTTGTTTTACCGCAGCTTCGTGGTATGCCACCTCGTGTGCCGGGCCACCAGATGGCATGCAGGTTGTGCTATTCCCAGCAAGGAGGGCGAAGTGTTGTATGAAAATATCAACACATGCTGGATTGGGATACACGGACCCATGCAGCAGCTCATTGCCGATGGCGAGACTGGCCTGTGGAGCGACGCTATCGCCCAGCGCATAAAGCGCCAAGGCATTGAGATGAAGTTGCGGGCCCCGCAGCAACACGCTAGATACATTGAACGCCGTGGTGCCATCCTCCGGGCCACTCTCCACGTGATGGAGGAACAGCTTGAGCGTGAGGGGCTGGTCTACACGTTCCCAGCTTTGCTGGCTGAAGCCATCTTTGCAGGTAATGCATTGGTGCATGTTGGAGGCAGCACGCCTTACCAGGCGGTGTACGGCAGGCAGCCGGCTATGTTGCCCCCGCTTGAAATCCCTGACATGCCTGAGCGTGAGGCAGCGCTGCAGGCAATGATTCAGGCCACTAGCCTGGCACGCATCAACAGGGCGGCACACACGCGCACATCCCCAGATAGTACCCGAGAGTTTAAGGAAGGAGATTTGGTTGACGTGTTTAGGAAGCCCCCTAGTAAGGATGCCTCGGGGTGGTCAGGCCCATACCGCGTGACAAAGTCATCGCCAGGCCAAGTACAAGTGCTGGCTGGCGGTCACACGCGCACTTACAGGAGTCAAGACGCCCGTCTGACACTCCTAGTCTTGTACACCGCCAATCAGCCGTCAGCATGGCCCGAATGCATGAACGTCATTACTGAAGTCCTGCTGGCCTTGCAGCCCGGACAGTCCGTGTTGTATGGATTCGCAAACTCTCCTACAGGTGGCTGCGCGCTTTCAAAGGCTGCGCGCCAAACTCCGCAAGTGCTTCATGCACTAGATTTTCTCTTCAACAACTGCTGGCGTCATCGGTGCGCGCCTCGCTCACGGTGCCAAGAGTTTAAGTGCAGTTACCCTGGCATCACACTCCACACTGATTTGGTGGCAGGCAAACGTAGACCAGGACGTCCAGTTCAGCAGTTTGCAAGGCACTAAGGTTAACTTACTAGACCTTTTAGGCGACAGCTATAGCTCTAGTTTAGTGGCTCAAGCCTTACATTCTGCTGATCAAGACGTCACTCTTGCCGATGCTTGTGATGAGGCTTCCGACCTCAACCACGAAGCTTCATCGGAAACTGCCCTGCCCTCCAGTGATACCGAGCCACTTTCAATCCACACACCACAAGGGCCACTGTCAGCCATCTCTGAAGGCTCCGAGCATGAAGGCGAGGCTCACGCTTTCCTGTCGTCCTGTCCTTCGGATGAACCTGTCCTAGTAGAGGCCCTTCGTGTGCTGTTCGCACTGTCTGAGTCTGAAAGCCTGGAGGCATCAACCGAAGCCTTTGTGGACAAGCACGTGCCCTACTTCGAGCCGGTTGAACCAACCACCGCTACTATATCAGACCCCTACGAGCACTACCGCTCTGCCCACGTAGACGCCGACCTCTACAGTTCCCTAGACTACCACGACCCTGCAGGGAATAGGTGCGTAGAGCTGTGGTTTACTAGGGGCATGGCTAAGGTAGTGGGGAATGATAGTGGTTTAGGCCCCGACGAAACTTATGCTTTAAGAGTTTACGCCACCGGCTACCGCCAAGCTGTGATCCAGCGGGAAACCGACTTGTTGACCCCGCAGGACATGCTAAAACACCAGCCATTGGTCGCAGCAGCTGCTTTGGAGGAGCTGCAAACTTGGAACAAGTATAAATGTTTTAAACGGGTGCCTAGAGCCACAGCAAAGAACGTCATGGACAGTAAGTTTGTGGCTAAATGGAAAATGGTCAAAGATGCGCAGGGAAAAGAGAACAGGGTCGTTCGAATGCGACTCGCACTGCGCGGTTTCAAAGACATGCGTGAAGGCCTAGAAAACTTCGCAGCGACAGGCTCCCGGCAGTCTCAACGGCTACTCAGCTCCGAAGTGGCCTGCCATCCGGGCTGGAAGCTTGTTGCAGTGGATGTAGCTAAGGCATTCCTCCAAGGGATGACCTACCAGGAGATGAGCGAACTCACAGGCGAAGATGAACACGAGGTCCACTTTGACCTGCCAGCCCGCGAAGCCGAATACCTCAAGCAGGTGGCAGGTTTTGAAGGCTTTGACCCTCGTAAGGAGACACTAAAGTTTTTGAAACCTGGCACCGGTTGTCGTGATGCGCCCCGCGCTTTTGCTTTGAAGCTCGCCCAGTTTACACGGTCCGAGGCCATCGGTCTTCGACCTTCCTTGTACGACTCCGAGTTGGAGTTGAAACATGTCGGCGGTCATCTCGTGCTTCTTCTCGTAAAGCATGTCGATGATATTAAGATCGCTGGCGAGCCCCGCGAAGTGGACGCGCTAGTGGCACATCTTGAATCCGGGTTTGGAAAACTTGCCTACCAAGAAAACACCTTCACGGTGTGCGGCCTGACACATGTCAGGCACAGCGATGGTAGCATCGAAATGAACCAGGATGCTTATTTAGCAGCTATGCGGCCCATCCAGCATCCAGAGCTGACGGGAAGAGCCAGCAGTGAGCCGTGTACGCCTGCTGTACACGGACTGTTCCAGAGCCTCCTGGGTGCAGTAGCTTACAGTCTTCTCTCGCAAGCTTGGGCTGCTGTGTTCGTGGTGGCCCTTCAACGACACGCCGCAGCACCCACAAACCTGCACGTGAGGCGTTTAAATCTTCTGCTGGCTGCCCTACAGAAGCTAAAGGCCAAGCTGATTTTTCCTGTCATGACCTGTGCACGCCGCATAGTCGTCTTTTCAGACGCCTCTTTCAGCAAGGAAAGTGATCAGAAGGGGTACGGCATGCGAGGGGCCGTGTTCTTGCGCATGGGCTCCCACAAAGGACAGGAGCGCTGTCACTTCCTGGAGGCTCATTCCCAAAGCCTCAAACTGGTCACCAGAAGCACTTTCGCTGCCGAGACTTTGGCAGCTGTAGGAGCCGTTGACTCTTTGACAGCTCTGTTAGTGACTCTCCAGGAAGTAGCGTGCGGCACACTGTCGACTGAGGCCGCACGCGCACTCAGGGAACAGGGACGTTTCGCTTTCCAGTCCGAGTTGTGTATAGATGCAATGAATTTATACTATGCTTTGTCGGCTACATATCCCAAACTACCCGCCGAAAAGGCCCTTTTTATACATATAGCCTGGCTGAGGGACTTCATAAGGGTCAAGATTCCTGGCGTTGTGTCTTGGGTTGATACCCGCGATATGCTAGCCGATGGGCTCACTAAGGGAAAGGTGGAGCGCACTGCGTTGCTGAAGGCAATGCAAGGCATCATAAACATGATGCACCCAAAGATCTCCACACCTTAGGGAGCATGCACGTTTGATAACGTACCTGTACAGCAGCAGCAGCAGCAAACTCGACGAGCACACCCGACTTGTTAGGTATCCTGTAGAGTGAAGCTGTCTTGCATCTGACTTGAGTCGTGGTTGTGTTCGTAGCCGAGCAGCTGCCCGAGATCTCTTACCAAGCCCCTGCGGTGAACAATGAAGCCTTCGGTATTGCTCTGCTTTTCGCTACTCCTCGTCTTCGGACTATAGTCAACTCCTGCCACCAATGGTTCCTTACAGAGAAGCTCTGGATATCTGGAAGGGGCAAGAAGTCGGTATCCAGCAGGTGAAAAGACTGATACCTCAGAGCAGGCATGATCAAAGCAGTGGCCGGATAAGTTCAGAAAATCGCAATGCTACCATGGACAAAACAGCATCAGCACGAACCAACTAGTAAGGTTGTTTATGGCAACACTTTCAAGCAACAGTCACAGCTTGAGACTTAGAACCCACCAGCCGATAGCACCGACCGAAGTTTAGGCACTAGGATTCAGAATTCGGCACTTAGGGTAGTATCATCACATCAACTACATTGTAGTAATACAATACTACCATACTGGGTCAACATTATATAGAGTAAACCCCAAAAAAGTTGGAAACCGGATTAAGGACAACTAGTGCTGGGATTCCCTTTACAATACTCTTACGGATTGAGGCTGTTTGGTTTCCAACTTTTGGGCTTCCACTTTATATATATACATACACATACATATTCAGATTGTATAATCAATTCGGACAGTGCCGAAAGCAACCGCTGCTGCCAAGGGTGCCTCCGGCATGGGTGTCTCCAAAGTTTGAGGCCGTTTTAGGGTGGAAGGGTTTGGGTTTTAGGGATGTGGGGTTTAGAGCTGAGGGTTGAGAATCCTAAACACGGTTTAAGGTTTAGGGTTTAGGGTTTCCTAGTGCTAGACTGTAGACTAGGACACAATTTACCCTATAGGCCCTATCGTCTTATTGTGGTAAATATTCAATAATTGGTTTTGGGGCCGCTGAGAACAAGCCCGGTAAACATTCTTATCCGTTTTGCAGAACTGTGAAGGGGTATCGCTTTTTTTTCCTAAAGCACCAACTTCTAACCACGACTAGGACCCAAAGTAGGCCCTTATTCCCTTTTTTTAGGGCTCAGGTTCCCTTATCGAAGTCCTTTAAACCCAAAAAGGGCACCCCTTTTTGATTCCTAGGTTTCTCTTGGGTTTAGACGAGGCCCCACATCCTAGGTTCCGCATCTCCATCGGTCAGGGTCATTGGCCATAGGCTCCACGGTTTAGGGTTTAGGGTCAGGGTCATTAGCCATAGGCTCCAAAGTAGTTCCTTTTTTGTGGCTTGTATTTAGGATCCTATAAGGTAGTCCCAAAAAGGAACTACTATGGAGCCTAGTGGGCAGCTTCTACTCCTAGGTGTTGGCAGTTTGAGCCTTCGGTATAGGAGAGCTTTTCCCACAAACTTTGCAGGTGCTCCTGATGAGCCGAACTTAAGATTGCGTCGAAGAGGCTCCAACAGCCACGCAAGAAGAAGTCGGACAGGCCCTAAAACCCAAAAGCCTAAACCCCTAAAACCCTAAAACCCTAAACCCCTGAACCCCTGAACCCTAAAAGCCCTAAAAAACCTAAAGGCCCAAAATGTTGATCTGCGAGGCCGCCGGGGCTCATTCTCTGCAGATGGAACTCCGCTTCTTGAGGCGTCTCCCGGGATTGTGTTTAGGGTTTAGGGTTTTAGGGTTTAGGTTTTAGGGTTTAGGTATTAGTGTTTAGGGGTCTAGGATTTAGGATTTAGGGGATTAGGGATTAGGGTTTAGGGGTATCAGGAACCTAAGCTCGAGGTTTCAGGGCTTCAGTCGCTGGGTTGGAGTTCAGAGGTGAGGGGGATAGCTGCCCCTTGATTGCTCGGAACCCTGGTCGCATGAGTGCTGCCGATCATTCCAAGATAATTACCAAGACTAAACACCTTTCATGTTGAAGACTTTCCTCCAACCTACGCTCCCCTCCGCAATCGACCAAGTCTGAAGCCTGGTACTGTACAGTGGTAGTACAGCAATGGTACAGTAGTACGGTAATAGTACAGTAGTATAGTAGTGGTACAGTAGTAATGCAGTAGTAGTACAGAAGTAGTACAGTAATGTACGGTAACAGTCGGTAATAGTACAGCAGCAGTAGTAGTAGTAGTAGCAGTACAGTAGTGCAGTAATAGCACACTAGGCTTAAGCCTTGAGGGTTTAGGGTGTAGGGCTAAAAGGGTCTAGGGTTTAGGGAGAGCTTTGGGCTTCAGGGCAGCAAATTGTTGGTGCTTTGAGATTGACCAGTAGCAGAAAGGTAGCAACACAACAAGAAATCCGCCGGCCAAAGAAAACGAAACGCATTTTTCAGGACACACCATGTTTTTGGCTTGAATAAGCCCGGCAAAAACGCATTGTAGAGGCCCACTCGCATGAATGGGCCGCCACATTATGTCTCATGGGTTTCGGGTTCTACATCCCCTAAATTCTAAACCCCGAGCCCTAAATCCCTAAACCCCTGCCCCCAAAACCCGAGCAAACTTGTCAAACTCTAACTTCGACCCTTTCCTTGAGCCTCCAGGCTAGAACCCTACCCCCTAAGACCCCAACCCGCCCATGCCCGGAATTGCTCTAATATCCATATTGCAAAAGAAAAAACCTAACCCCCGAACCCTGAAGCTCTACTTGCAACAGCCTCAAACCAAACCAGGACTACAACAATAAGCTAAAAAGCAGCACGCCCTTGCCAAAGCCCAACCTCCTAAATTCCCCTAAACCCTAAATTTCCTAAATCATATCCGGAGGCCTTCGGATGTGCAAGCAGACCAAGACCAGGTAGCGGCCCACGAAGCGCAAAAGATGTTTGGGTTTCAGGATCCAGGTTGGTTGGTGGGCTATAAGGGTGCCATAGGGGTTCCTTTAATTGCTACAGGGGTTCCTTTAAGGGGTTTGTAGGGTTCCTGTACGGGTGTGTACAGGGTGCCATAGGGGTTCCTTTAAGGGGTTAGTTTATAGCGTTCCTGCAGAAGTGCCATCGGGGTTCCTTGAAGGGTCTATAGAGTTCCTGTAAACGTGCCATAGGGGTTCGTTTTGACGGCTCCTTATCCACAAGGGTGCCCAAGGGGGTTATTTTAAGGTAGCGTTAGGACTCGTGAAGAGTTTCTCGTGTTGTAGTTTTGAGGGCTGCCCGGGTGTACGGATTTAGGACTTGGCGTCTTGGAGAGCTCTGGCTTTCGGTAAGTATTTTGAGTTTAGGGGTGTTGGGTTTAGAGTGTAGGGGTTTTGGGCGTAAGGTTTAGGGTTTAGAGTTTAATTAGGGCTCTAGTAGGGGTGTTCTGGTATTTAGATTTCGGGGACGTTTCTACTGGGGAACTTGGGGTTCTGGGGCCTATGGCAGTCAGTCCTGAGATTCCTTTCTAGTCCTTACATGGCTTCGGTACAACATACCCGGAAACCTTAGTAAAAGAACCGGGCCTGAAACATGCTCGGACGTCGACCTGTGGGATTCAGATTCCTTTCGCCGTGTCTGGCCAAAATCAGGCCTTAGGGTTTAGGTTAAGGGGTTTAGGAATGTGAGATTGTCGGCCCCCTTCATTATATTCTTTTGTTTACATGAAGCGAAGACACCAGACCAGGACGAAGGTTGCTGAAGAAGGGCAGAAGGGCTTCAGGTCGGCTTCCTGCTTGTAGTCGCAGTGCCACACTATAGTATATAGATGTAATCTATACTATACAATACACACTTGGTGCACTGTATGTGTGTATATATTTACACATATAATTACACGCGTTCGCACGCACGCACACACACACACAGAGACTCACACACGGTCTATACTTCATAGATTGTAGTTGATATCTATATCTAGTCTATATCTACATCTATATATACATATATAGATACAGATATAGATATAGATACATAGATATCGTAGTATGTACATTCATATATATATATATATAGACATACGTACATACATACATGCATACATACATACATACATACATGTATTTACAAACAAACAAATACATACATATGTTTGTATGTACGTATGTATAGTCTATATATATACACATACTATTCATGTACACACTACATGCATGTATAGTCTGTACTCCATACTCTGGACTCTGTACTCTAGACTCTATATATACTCTATACCAGACTAGACTATACTATACTTCACCATGCTATATACTGTCCTACACGATCATGACACATTGAGGACTCCATGGCCGCACGCGGGGACTGCGCACCGGGCTTAGACTCCTTCGACCCTGGCCATGCTACAGAGTCGCGAAGTAGTAGGGTTTAAGGTTTATAGGGTCTAGGGGTATGGCTTAGGGTAGTAGTAGGGTTCAGGGTTTAGGGTCTAAGGGTGTGGCTTAGGGTTTGATGTTCTGCAAGTTTAGCCTCTCAAACTTCCGTCGTTGAGCTGACGGTGATGACAAACACGTAAGACCAGTTTCCATCGTAGTACAGGCGCTATGACTATCGCGATGCTCATCACATCCCGCGGGCCATCTGTCTGTAGCTATTGCTAACGATTGCTCCTATCGTTCCTACCACCATGACCTGTTTCATTGCCGAAGCTACTGCTACCGCTACTACTAGGTTTTTTCGGTTACGCTTAGGATTTGTTGAAGTGCAGGACGTGCTTCTGAAAAGTTCGAGGCATGCATGGCTTGTACACCTGAGCGAAGGGAAGTGCAGGCACCGCACAAACCTAAACTGTTAAGCTAGACATTTGTTGGAATGTGGTGAACGTGGAGATCGTGATCCCATGCTGATCCTGAAGCCCAAATCCTCCACCCGACGCTCTACATCCCAGGAGTGTTTCATCGCAATCCCCAAACCCTAGACATATTCTAAGCCCGAAAATTCCGAAAACCTAAACCCTATCCTCAACCATCAGCACTTTCTCTTGGGACAAATGCTCAGGACAACAGCTTGAACCCTAAACCCTGAACCCTATAAACCCTAAACCCTGAACCCCAAACCCTCAGCCCTAAACCCTAAACCCAAAAACCCAGAATGAAGCTTTCAGCCCAAGAGCGCTGAGGCTCTTGCGCTTCGCGGCGATCCGGGCCTTTTTCTCGTTTGTCGGCTCTTTGTAGGTCCGGGCCTCGATCTTGCCATCGCAGTTTTAGAGTTCGGGCCTCAACCCCAAACACCCTAACCCCTAAACCCTAAACCCCTGTTCTTTGATGGCTTCTGCTGTCCATGGTAGTGCAAGTCTGGCTCAGATGGGCCCTTTTTACTGCGACTGCGGAGCGAAAGGGGTCACTGCACTTTAAAAAAGCCCTAAACCCTAAAACCCTTTTCGGGTTTAGGGTTTAGAGTTCTGGTTCTGGGCTTGAACAAATTGTCCAACAGTATTCCCTTTATAGGCTGTCTACATCTCTACTACAATATAACCCCCTAAACCCTAAACCCTAAACCCTAAATCCCTAAACCCTAAACCCCTAAAGCCCTACTAAACCCCTAAGCCCTAAGCCCTCGGATAGCTTGCACCACGCATCAAACCCGGAAAAACCTTATCCCTCACGCGAAGACCCCGTGTCATCTTGCCCAAATGCCTAATAACTCCCTGGTTCTTCGTAGGGAATGGGGGAATGGGTAAATGGGACTACTATAGTAGACCTGAAGTAGTCATCCATTCCCCCACCCATTCCCTACTAGAGACCTTGGACATAAAGTCCTACTTGGTCCTAAATAGAATCCCGATGCCTAATGAAAGCAAGAAGAATAAACAAAACCCAATCGAACGGCTAGGCCGCGAGTAAAGCCCTAAATTTCTACTAAGAAGAAAGGCAGCACGAAAGGTTCTGGATGAACCCCTGAAGCTTCATGAAAGCGGAATATAACGCAGAGACCCAGAACGATCCCTTGTAAACCAAACCCGTCATAAACCCATAAAGTTCACAAAGCACAAGGCCCTGTCAATACAGCCCTAGTAGGTCCTAATAACACCTTCAAGCCAAATAAGAGCCTAAATCCAGGGAAAACCCTTAACCCCAGTTCGTCATACAGCGTTGATAGCTGAGTGGGCACACTTTACGCTTTACGCTCTTTGGGTTAATCTTACCCCCTTTAAAACTGGAAGTTTACTTTTTTTGGGCTTATGAACTCAACAACTAAGTAACGTACAGAGAGACTCACAGGCTCAGCATTTGGGCAGATCGAGCACACCTTCCAAGACGAGACAACGGCAGTTTGTCACGTCCTCAGGGTGGGCTTTAAGGTTTGCAGGGCTAGACAAAAAGGGTTTAGGGTTTACGGGTTTAGAGTTTTGGGGTTTAGGGTTTGCAGCGAGAAACGAAAGGTTTAATGAGTATGTGGGGCGGGGCGGGTTTCGCTTTTTGACTGCGCTTGCACTTGCCACACTGTGGGGCGCTTAGTTGTGAGCTTGCGGATGTGTCGTCACTTGTTCCACTTGGCATTGGGAGTTTTTGATAAGAGGGATCCCAGCGAAGACTTCCCCTTCCTCACTTGCCGCGAGGTAGCAAACCGATCTGCTTCATTCGCGACCAGATAAATGAGAAGGACAGGGCAAGTCTAGTTGGGAGTTCTCCCCCTAAACCCTAAACCCTATACCCCCCAAAACCCTAAACACTAAACCCTAAACCCTAAACCCCCCTAAGCCCTAATCACTACAAACCCTAGGCTTTAGTTTGGGTGGTTTTGCAGGTTTGCCGGAATCAGAAGCCAAAAAGCCTGGACCCCACAACCCTCCCTGGCTCTTAGTAGGGAATGGGGGAATGGGTTATTGGGACCACTACTGGGTTCTGGAGTACCATACTTGAATACTTTTTTATTGGACCTGTTCCTTAAAGGAACCATTATAAAGTAAAAGTCTATACTGTTTTCTCCCTGGTTACTTCAAAGTCCAGACTATAGGAGACCTTGAAGGGGCTATCATAGGGATCCATTCCCCCATTCCCTGCTACGAACCAGGGAGGACCCCGACTAAATCCTGAACCCAAAAGAACCCAAAAGAGCCCTGAACCCAAAAGAGCCCCAAAAAAAAGGACCCTATAGAAGGATCCCTTAAAGGGACTCTAGCCCAGACTCTGAAACCTCTAACGCCACCTTTTGAACAAGTACATAATATAGGGGTCTAAGTTACGGTAGTTACCAATGCTCTTTCGGCGATTCCTTACTGTAATGGTAGTATAATCACACACCCTCAAAACCCTATTCTAATTATTAAGGCGCCTATATTACACACACACACAGAGACAGAGACAGACAGAGACAGACCCCCGGCCCGACATCGCGCACCTCCATGTCCTGAGGTAATCTGCTACAGTAAGGGTGAACACGGCATCGAAGACGCGCCCAAGGGTTTCGGCTTTAGGGTTTTAGGGCTTATAGGGCTTAGGTGAACCCGGCAGGGACTCAAAAAGCCCTTTCCCTGACCCACTCCGAACCCGACAAACCCTCAGAATAATGCGCCTATGGAGATCCCTGCGAGACCCTTACGGGACCCGTACTGTTTTGCGAAACAGAAGTGTGGGCCGGTGCTGACGGCCCATACGATACCCCGCTGAACCTAAGGACGGAGCCTTTGATGACGTGGTTCTGGGAGAGGAGCCAATGCCCACTCGACTGGATCTCGGAAGGATACCAGTGCGGTTGCGACTTCTCCAAAGTGCGCCGGCTATGTTGGCAAGTTCGTGGACTCGTTGGCGGAGTTGGCTATCTGGGTGCAATTGTCAGCGGCTTCTCTGTTGTCCCTTGGTTGCGTGAAGATTGCTGGGTGGATCTGGTGGTTCATCAGTTCGGTCCATTCGTTGAGCATCATGTTCCTGACTGCGAGCGGGGAGGCAACCCCACGAATGCGGACTCCGGCTTGGACACTGTCGTTGTTACTGGCCCTTCCTTGTCTTCGGTGGCTCCTGGTGAAGGAGATGGTGTGGTGGAGTCATCGCGTGGTGCCCATGCTGATACCGGAGTTCTTCTTGATGATCCATCGTGAATGTGGGAGTCGTCGTCTGTCACTACGTGCTGGTGGAGTTGTTCGGTGGCCTCGTGGGTCTCACTTGTCTCACCTAGTGTGTGCCTGTACAGGCAGGACGCGTCCATCACACTTGACAAAAAAACCCAAATCCCCAAACCCGAAACCCTAGACCCTAAGCCCTAAGGCCCTAAACCCTAAGCCCTAAAACCCTGAAACCTAAGCCCTAATAAACCCTAAACCCTAAAACCCTAAACCCCTAAAGCCCTAAACCCTAAAGCCCTAAAACCCTGAACTCTAAAGCCCCAAAACCCTAATTAAACCCCGAAACCCGACCTAAACCCTACATGGAAAGGATGGCTCCCTCGTGATCAGCTTCGAGGTTCTCGAGGCCTTTGCCTTTGCAGAAATGGCTTCCAAGCGGTTTAGGGCTGAGGGCTGGGGCCTATAGGGTTTATAGGTTTATAGTAGTCTATAGGGTTTAGGGCTTAGGACTTGGGGTCTGTAGGGTTTAGGGCTGAGGGCTTAGGGTCTGTAGGGCTTAAAACTCAGGGTCTATAGGGTCTAGAGTAGTCTATAGGGTTTAGGGTTTTAGGGCTTGGGGCTTGGGGTCTAGAGAGTTTATAGGTTTATAGTAGTCTATACGGTTTAGGGCTTAGGGCTTGGTTAGGGTTTATACAGTAGTCTATAGGGTTTAGGGTTTATACAGTAGTCTATAGGGTTTAGGGCTTGGGGCTTGGGGCTTAGGGTCTATAGGGTCTGTAGGGTCTATAGGGTTTAGGGTTTAGGGCGCAAGCTGATTCCAGATTTGTTTGGCCCTAAAAACCCAGAGCCTTCACATCTTCCTAAGGCCCTAAGGGTTTGGGGGTTTAGGCTTTAGGGTTTGGTGTTTAGGGTTTAGGGTTTATAAACCGTATAGGGTTTAGGGTTTAGGGTTTTATGGTTTGGTGTTTAGGGCTCCCTAAATCCTAAACGTTGGAAAACCCCGAACACGAACCCTCAATTTTAAACCCTAAACACCTAAACCCCTAATACCCTAGACCCCAAACCCTAAACCCTGCCCTAGAGCTGCCTCCACACAGGCCATCCGAAGCGTGTCGAGATACGCGCCGGCCCGAGCCGAGGCAGATGACCTTGAGGTTTAGGGAAGTTTAGGGTTTAGATTTTAGGGATTTTGAGGGTTTAGGATTTAGGCTTTTAGGGTTTAGGGTCCGGGTTGAGTTTAGGGTTTTAGGGATCAGGGATTTGGGTTTCAGGAACTTCCGACAAAGGCTCCTTTGAAGCTTCCTGTATACAGGAGTCTAGACGGGTTACAGTAAGGAGGTAGGGGAAGTCGTTTACGGGTTGGTTGTTTGCAGAAAAGTGTGAAAACGATGGTATCATAATGGTGCTATATGGGCTCTGCATCGGTTGCACGGTTACGTGGCAATCTATCGTCCTCAATAGTTGGACAAGGTGGCGCATAACACAGTATGTTTGTGTAGGCGCTATCAGCTGAAGACGGGAGGCCCGAGAACTACCTACCCTATCACCGCCCTAAACCCTAAACCCTAAATCGCCAATGAAGCCAAGATAGTGGTGTGGCAGGTTTGCATGTGCGCTTGATGCCTAAACCACAATCCCTCTGAGCCCGCTAAGCCCTGCAGCCTAAACCCTACAAGACCGTAAACCCTCAACGCATATGACCCTAAACCCCTGTTTGAACCCTAAACCCTAAACCCCCTAAACCCTAAAAGACTGCAAACCCTAAACCCATATAGACCCTAAGCCCCTAATTCAACCCTAAACCCCCTGTAATCCACCCTAAAATCCAAATCAAGCGTCTAAAACGCAGCCTTAACCCTAAACCCCCCAGGTACCTACTATATAGGGTACTAGAGCCCCTAGGGCCCTATATAGTAGGTACCTGGGGGGGTTAGGGTAAAGGTCTAACTTGCCAGGCAAACGGAGCTCTGGGCCTCGGTGGTCAGATCAAGTCTGGGTCTCAGCTCTGCCTCCGCCCCGTTGAATTCGGCCATTACTAGGTAGGCCTTTGGGATATTTTATATTTCCCCTTATTGGGCTTAAGAGGACCCTATTTACTAATGTTTTTCAGAGGCTTTAAAGGGCCAACCAGTCAATCATTAGGGCTTTATGGGTGTAGGGCTTTGGGTTTAGGGGTGTTTATGTTTTTGTAGAGTGGTAGGGTGTTCGGGTGCTTCGGGTGTAGGGCTTGGGCCTGAATATTTCAAAAGGTAGGAATCACCCCTGAAAGTCTGACTGTTTATGTCAATGAGTGTGTTTGGTGTTCGTTTCGGTATTTTGTCACTATCCCAAACTCGGCGTAGTTTCGATGGTTGTGAGATTCGAGGGCCATGGGCGTAATTAGCAGCCGGTTGCACACGGTCGTGAAAGTTATTTAGACCAATCAGTGGGTATGTTCGACAAACTACTTTAAACTACCGCAGCACAATGCAACAGATTTTTATGGAACAGCACTAATACTGTTTTGTACCTCTGCAGGTTTGAAGGCCAGATCCTGTCGCGGGAGGGCGGTTCATGAAGCTCGAAAGCGCCGAAGTGCTGACTTTACGGTCAGATCGGGCTTCCGGGTCCGGAGGTGACCGAGCAGGATTCCCCCAAGACCGAGGGTGTAAGCACCGCCGGAGCCGCAAAATCGCCATGCATGACTGCCGGGCACACCTCGACGGAAAAGGAACCAAATCCCAATCCACAGAACGTAAGACGGAAGACTCATAGTGTCACCCAATGGTTTTGGAAGATGCGTACACACGCGCACGCATCCGATTCCATCCTCGCTCCCTCCCTCTCTCCCTCCCTCCCTCCCTCCCTCCATCCGTGGTTGCATGATGCATGCATGCATACACACGCATCCACATACATGTGTATGCATGTATATTATGTTGCATATATTTTTATTTATATATTTGTATATATATATATATGTATATATATATATATATACATATGTACTTACATACATACATACATACATACATACATACATACATACATACATACATACATACACACACACACGTACATACACATGCAGCATCGACGCCAAAATGTTAATTACTTAGTGTGCTAGGTCCCCACACCCGAAGACTCCGAAGCCCAACACCCCAAAACGCTGGTAGAGAGTCGGGCGAAGCCTCCAGGTATCATCGGTATTTGAACCATCGAATGCTCGACATCGTTCAAGACCAGGTCTGTGGGGCTAATTGCTTGCAGGACTCGCTCTCATACTTGGGATTTAAGGGGTGTAGGGCATTGACGGTCAGATCGCTTGAGGTGGCTGCTTTGGGGGGCTCCTATTAGGGTCCAGGGTTTAGAGGTTTAGGGAGGCCGCGGGCCCTGGCATGTCCAGTTTCCGCCAAAAGGACAAGGACGGAGAGGAAGTGAGGAAACGGGTGTGGTCTGAATATGGGTAGTTCTCTAAGTTAGGGTCCCTTTTTATTTTTAGGTCCCCAAATGGTACGGCACCCTTATTAAAAAAGGACCCTAAAAGGACCCCTACTTTAGAGAACTTCCCATATGGCCAGACGAAACCAGGCCCGAAGCCAGAAGTCCACGGCACTCCGAC